CATCATCATTATTGTTGTTGTTGTTATCTGTAGATAAGTGACTTACAAAACGTTGGGGCGGATATAAATTATACTGAAAATGTTGTTGTAGATGTTGTTGTAGTAGATGTTGTTGTTGTTGTTGTTGATGCTGTTGTTGTTGTTGTTTGTCAACAAAAATTTCCTTTGTATCCATCGATAAATGCTGGAAAAATGATTGATCGGCCGGTCGGCTGTATATTACAGGAGATAACAAAAATGGCGAAAATGATGACGTCATCGATGATGACGACGGTGATGATGATGATGACGACGGTGATGATGATGAGGATGATGATGAAGATGATGAAGAACTATCGTCACCAATGAAATCAGGATGTTCTATAAACTTCCAGAATATTTGTACGTAGTATGTCTCGTCCCAGGCGTCCTCTAATTTGATGAGGAATAGTTTGTCTGATTTCTGATTCAAGCTTGGCATCTAGACAGGAAAGAAATAATTTATTAGTATTTTTATTTAATATTATTCATAATAATAATAATAATTATTATTATGATTATTATTATTATCTGTTTGTTTGTTTATTTATTTATTGTTTGTTTGTTTGGTTGTTTGTATACCTAAATCAACTCTCTCGCAATATGCACATTTTCGATTGTATGTAAGTAAACAAAAGAAAAAAAAGCGAAATTAATCACGTGATTACAATTGTTTACTCTCCTTTCTTATCCCAAAATGTAAACAAAACTGTCACGTGGCTCTATTTGTCTTCCGGCAAAAAATAAACAAAACAGCGAATTATGGATGTTTGTTATTATTTTATCCTCGGTGCAAAAACAAAAACAAAAAAATCACGTTATTATAATTGTTTTCATGGCTCTGCCCTTGAAATGTAAACAAAATAATCACGCGAGTAAATTGGTCTTCGTTTGTCTTCCTCGCGAAAAACAATGACGTCATCATAAATATAATCTCTTCTTCCTCCAACAAAAACAAAGCATAAACAAAAAGATTATTATAATTAATTATAATAATTATAATTTATTATAACAATTATAATTAACTTATGTAAACAACACGAACACGTGACCAACCCTGACGGTGACGTGGAACTGCTGGGGGCACTGGATGAACAAATCCTGCCTGAAGAGCAACTCCTCGTCCAACAAACTGTACACTGTCAAACTTATGTAGGTCGGGCATGACGTAACCTGACCTAATTATCATTTAGATTGTAATGATAACGATTATGGCCTAGTTAAGGTCAATTTATGTAGCGCTTTGTGTGTCGGTTGAGGTTTACTTTTTCACAAACTCGCATCGTCTAAGTTTGTATATGCGAAAATTGATAGATGAAGGAGTTGTTTGATTTGAACCCAATGATTGCCGCACAAGAGACTGGCATTTTATCACCGGGCCATCATTGTCCTATATCATAAATCATTTTTTTCTTCAAATGGCCAATCATTCAATAATAAATCAATCAACCAATCAACCAACCAATCAATCAACCAGTTAAACGACTACCCAATCAACCAACCGACCAGCGATAAAAAGTGACCATGTTTTATTAACGAGTTCAAGACTGGTCAGCAGAGAGTCGAGATTATTCCCTGTGAGAAGGAGTCGCCCAGCGTTTGAACCCGGTCTTCCGAAGTAATGACGAAGTACCGATTCGTTACCTGATTCGTTGGAAAAATAATAACACAAAAATAGTAATAATTCAAATTTAATAATAATAATAATAATATTTGATTCCTATAAATTATTTAGCATGATATATTAGCCAGTCTTCGGCACTAATCATAATATTCACTTTGATGGATTGAGCGCAAAAGGAGAAGCAAAGAAGAATAAAAATTACGTAGGTGGAGGTGATAGATGGTAGATTGATGAAGAGAGAGAGAGAAAGAGAGAGAGAGAGAGAGAGAGAGAGAGAGAGAACAAATAAAAACCAGAGAAAAAAGTCCAAAAGAAGTTAAAGCAGTATATTTCAGTATCCATCCCAAATTATATCATAATAACTGAGACCATATTTAATGTACATTATCATATTTTACAATGAATGAAGTGTCATCATCGTCATCGTCGTCATCAACTCTGACAACATCATCATCAGCAATAACATCAACATCATCATCAGCAATAACATCAACATCGTCATCAGCAATAACATCAACATCGTCATCAGCAATAACATCAACATCGTCATCAGCAATAACATCAACATCGTCATCAGCAATAACATCAACATCGTCATCAGCAATAACATCAACATCGTCATCAGCAATAACATCAACATCTTCATCAGCAATAACATCAACATCTTCATCAGCAATAACATCAACATCATTATCAGCAATAACATCAACATCGTCATCAGCAATAACATCAACATCATTATCAGCAATAACATCAACATCATTATCAGCAATAACATCAACATCATCATCAGCAATAACATCAACATCATCATCAGCAATAACATCAACATCGTCATCAGCAATAACATCAACATCA